CCATAGAGGCTTGATGAGGGTCAGTATCACCCTCTGCATGCGGATTTGGTGGAGAACCCTCGTAATCATTGAGAATGGTGGGAATGCGTAAGCCCCGTGTTGTGGCCATTGTTGCAGGAACGCGTCCGTTGCTAGACTCTCCGGATCTGGGAGCTAACTGAAGAAGTCCTTCGTCTGACGGTTGTTGCGGGAGGCGAATAAATCCAGGGAGAAGGGACCCCTTTGTGCATCCAGAATCTTGAAAATATGAGGGTCTAGTTGCCAGTCGCTGGCGTCCCTCCAGTGGCGTGAGTACCAATCCGCTGTCGTGTTGGTTTCCCCTGGTAGGTGTCCCGGAGAAGGTGGATACCCTCCATTTTGAAGTGGCGGTACACCACGTAGGAATTGAGCTCCTTGAGGTTGATGACGGGTCGGAATTCACAGGTTTTCTACTTGACCAGGAAGATATTGCTGTAGAACCCGGTTGAGTCCGGAGCTGGTTGGATGGCACCTTTGGAGTGTAAGTCCTGAAGTTCCGAGTCTATCAAAGAAGCGTCCGCCCGTGAAAACTGAATCGGGCGTGGTGGGGTCTGTTGGAGTGGCATCGTCTCAAATTCTATTTGATAGCCCCGCACCGTCCGAAGTATCCATGTGTCGGAGGATAGGTCTGCCCAATTCTGGAAAAAAAGAGAAACACGACCTGCGATATGGCAAGAGGTTAGAGGTAGTATAGAATGGTGACTTACCGTTGGAGAATCTCGCTCTGGAGCGTCCTCGGCCGCCACGGTCCGATCCCCTGAACTGATGGAATCGATGGCAGGCAGATGGATCTGTGTAGAATGGTTGTGTCCTGGTTGTGCGGGGGCCGGTTGGCCAGAAGCGGCTGGTGGCACGGCCCCTCTGCCGACCAGCCTTCCCAAAAACACCACGGGTGTTGTGGCCGCGGTATACTTTCCGCATTGACGTTTGTGCCTTATTGAGGGATGTGAATATATTGACCCTCTTATTAAGCTCAGTAAGGAAGGCATCTCCAAACAATTTGCCCTGTGCCAAAGGGCCCAATTCTTTATTTCCAAGTTCGACAAGCTTGTCGTCAATTCGGAAAAGTGCTGCTCGGCGCCTCTCCGAAAGGAGGGCCACATTAGTGTTCCCGAGGAAACAGAAGCACCTCTGTGCCCACTCTCGGGTATCCCGTGCCCACTCACGCACCATATCTGGGGAGAAGTAATCAGCCCGTTCATAGGCATCATCTGCCATGTCCATGATCCTCGCCAATGGCCCGATGGCGTCTAGTAGTTTGTCCTGCGCTCCCTTGAAGCCACGTTCCACGCCCTTGCGTGGGTCCTGACCCCCGTGGGACATGAATGTGGTCATAAGCGGGTCGAATTCGGGGGTGTGTGCTACCTTATCTGGTAGGCTTGGGCGAGGACATTCAGATCTCATACGCTTTCTCACTTCTTTGTCCAGAGACTTCCGGAGCCAGAAGTGCATGAATCTGGTCAAGTGTTCGGGTGGCGTCCATTCTTCCGAACGGGGATGGCGAATGTTGCTAGGATCGAACATTCGGAGGCCAGAGTTGTCCAAAAATATCTCTGAACCCTCTTGTGGGGTGTCATTGGTTGTGGCCACAGAGTCCTGGGGCTCACCCAGGGTCTATTCCCCTATGAGATAAGGGTCAGACTTGGCAGCGGAGTCCCAGTCGGACTCCTCCTGGTCGGAGGCAGCCGCCTGCCATTCGTCAACCACGGCTAGAGCGTGTGATTGACCTGCGTCCTCTTCCCCAGAGGAAGCCTGAGCGGGTTTTGGGATGATCTGCTCGTGTCTGGTCTGCGTTTAGCAGGGGCCTTTTCTTTGGATTTACGTGGTCCCATGGCCTTGCCTTTCCAGTGGCGCTTAGGGGGGTGGGAGCGTTCCCTGGAGGAATCGGAGTCCTCAGAATCCACCCCATAATGAGCCCGTTTGGGAACGGGCTTAGATGCGTCTTGTTCCAATTGAAACGACTTAGCCAAAGCCTTTTCCATGGACGCAGCTACTGCTGCTGCAATCATGGCCTGGAGATCTGAGGGATTTGGGGATTCTTCCATGGTGTTAATCACACTTGGGGCTCACCCGGTGAATATGCGTGAGGGCACTTGTGGCACAAAAAAATGGAGAGTGGAGAGGCCTGGGGACCAGGGGGTGGTATAGAAATAGGTAATGGTTAACCTGAGAAAGTTATGTGACTGGTAGGTCAAGCAAGGGCTGTCACTGGGGCTCACCCAGGAATTCGGAATCCTGCATAGACAGGTCCGTTCAGCAGCACATGAATGGTGGCTCATTCCTGCCAGAGTAAGGATAATCCAACTGGCTGAAACCGACCCCAAGTGCAAAGCACTAACCTGGTACTGGTCCCACAGTGAGCTAATAAGGATGCAGAGTTCAGGAGTATCTGGCAGTAATAATAGACTGCAGACTGCAACAGGACAGTAGTAGCCGTTTAAAATGGCCGCCGGACTGAAAGCAGTAAGAAATGGGAGGTTTTAGTACCTCCCCTAGATGTTAGGGGAGCAAAAGAGTTACATGAATGTGGGGCGTTCGTGCGTACGAATCAGCTGAACGCGAGCACCAATAGGTGGTGCGAGTATTCGGCTAATACGCGCAAATGCAAGCGCCTAATACAAGGGAGGAAACGAGCCTATGCAAATGGGTGATCAGATAGTTCCATTTGCAAGGCGAAAAGGACGTGCGAATGACGGGAAAAAAACGTGAAGAGATCTGACACTGGGAAGTAGAGGTGAAGACGGCGAGAGTGCCAGTAAGACCTCCTGTAATAGGGATAGGCTAATAAAAGCAGTAGAAAAGGTCCCAGAGCCAGGGGGATGAAGCCCCCAAAGGTAACAATAATAATAATAAGATAGATAATAGTGTACAAATAGATATGACAAATAGAGTGTAAGGACAGAGTAGGAAAACCAAGTCTGTACTTATCTTGTGATGGAGCAGCAAAGAAAGAGGAAATGATGTCATACGTTACACCTCTTATACTCTATACTGCATTGTGATTGGTTCTCAGTTATGTCACTCTTTTCTTTGCTGCTATGGAGTTAGTAAAGAAAGATTATGCAAAATACAAAGCCTCCTGTTATGTGATAAAATTCCTATTTAAAGGTCCCCCTGTGCTGGACTTGTTTTTAAGTCAAGAATAGAGCATGTGATACTATGTTTTATTGACTTGTCTCTTCATAGTATTAATGTTATTAATCGATCCATGAAGAGATGAGTTTTATATTGTCCTGGCAGACTGCATATTATGAGTTTTATATTGTCATGGCAGTCTGCATATTATGAGTTTTATATTGTCATGGCAGACTGCATATTATGAGTTTTATATTGTCATGGCAGTCTGCATATTATGAGTTTTATAGTGTCATAGAATTCTTTTGCAGCTTTGTAAAACACATTTTGCACAATAAGCATTTTCTTTATCGATGTGTTCCAAATCAGACATATCTGGGTTATTGAATAATGACAGGTTCAAACCTGCCTGGATAATGAAATATTACCATATTTCATTAGGTGAACTAGTTTGGCAAATCAATCATCCAAATATTTGCTGCAATCACAATGTAAATATCCATGTAGGCGGTTTCTTAACTGTATCCATTATTTCACACAACTTTTCTCAACAGATCCAAAAAGCCATTTGATAACAAAACATGTTTCTATGTGCCATCGTTTTACCAGTGTATACATCTTGCACTTGCAATGCATTTGTGAATTTCCTCTGTGCAATACTTTTTAATGCCAGAGAATAATTATAGTGTTTTTTTTAAACACCTAATAAATAGATTTGTTAAGTCTCATCTTTAGTTTTTTTATAATCATGCTGTCATCCATTTCTAACTCTCCAATTCATTCAGTAACATTAGAATTATCCCTCACCGACATCCATTTTTGGGGTGAGTGTGGAGTGAACGAGTGGGGGTGAATAATGCTAATGTGACTGAATGGATTGGAGAGTTAAAAATTGATGATGAACATTATTAAAAAAAACAGGGATGATGAGATATTTGTTTTGAAAATGCCAATCATCATCTATTTTTAAACATTCCAAGTCGTTTAGTAAGATTTGCGATACCCTCCACCCCACCTCCCTATCACCCCATCCCCCCATCCAGACCACACTACACTACTTGTTGGGGAGAAATGCAAATGGGACAGGAGAGACATTGAGAGTTATGTGTCATGTCTGTCCTCAGTTTGGTATCCAATACTTTTTTCTTTGTAGGGTTAGTGTTGCCTGCTTCAGCTCAATCTCCAAGTTTTCCATGTTGCACAAGTAGCAATTTCTTAAAATTAAGAAAATAATCTGATCGAGGCTTCAGAGACTGTACACCTTCCCATATATAAATATTCTATAAATTCTATAAATATTATATAAACCAGGGCTTGGGATGGAGGGCATGACTGCATGATAGGGAGTGGTTTGGGGGGGCAGGATCCAAGGTCCAATCGATATTGAAGACGTCACTGGCTTGGCATCTAAACACGCACTCTTGGACAGTTTCAGATCTTAAAATTATAGTTGAAAAGTGGATCTCAAGTAACAATTAAAATTATGGCAGTTTCTCTTTAAGAATGATAACTATAACCAAATTCAAATCAGCTATTTCGTCCTAAATGTTGCTGTAATTCAGAGTACAGTGACCTCGTCGGCCTCAGTGGTGTAATATCCTCTGTGGGACTTTCAATATGTGTCAGTGTTAAATCTGAAGTTGCCCTCAGAAATACATTTCGACTAGTGAGTTAAATTAAGCTACGATAATACACTATACGCGCCAATATGTCTCTAAAACAATGATAGTCTGCCACTGAATGTAAAAGAATGGGTTAACTTGGAAATCCTCTGTTATTGACATGTGATTTGACCCCCCAAATGTTTGGGAAACACTTGCTTTGTGAATGTACCCCCTTAATTTTTCTGATCCCAAACTTCCTGTATAAAATTCAAAATGAAGAAATGCTTCTAAACGCATAATAAATCATATGTAAATTTGGTGTAAAATGTACCATTTAATGTTGAAATATATGTTTTTATTGATAATTTTATCATTGCTCTTTGAACTAGTTGCATTTTACATATAACTTTAGTATAACATGAAACATAATAGTGTTGCCAGTTGTATCTATCAGAGAGCCTGTTTATTGTTTATATAATGGGTTAACAAATCGAAGCTGAGAACATGTAAAGAGTTTCCAAAACTTGAATATTTGGATTTAAACTAGTCCCCATTTACATTACATGTGACACATTAACAAACTATACTGTTTGTTTATCTCTGCTAAAGGAAATATTATTTCTTAAATAATAGATGCTTTACTAACTAGGCAGGACTGGCTAATATACTCTGTAAGTAATGGTGTGAGAAGTGGGATTCCCATAGCAAGACATTATTTCAACAGGGGTTATGTATAAAGTGTAATTGTTGGACATGTTCTTAAAGTTGATGGCTCCACTTTTAGAAATTTGCCCTCAAATTATTCTTTATACATAACACCCAAAGTGTCAGTAAGTTTTACATCTTATCTAATAAGTTGAAAATAAATGATGGATTTAGGCTAATTTGTGTTTATAAAATTGTGTCGGAATCTTGACTGTAGCTATGGTGCTTGTTGCTCCACTTTTCAGTTTGCACCAGAAATTGCAGCGTTTTTTAGATGCACGCTTTGTGCGCCGATTCTGCAAACAAAGAACACACAAATTCATCAGTTATGAATGACGATTGTAATACACACATATCAAGCAGGCATTATTATTAAATGAATTATGGAAAAATGCTAAAAAATTTGCATTTTAAAATCAAAGAAAACGGAAGTACGCCGAATGGTGTAAAATTGAAAGACAAAGACTTCAAAGTCTATCAGCTACACTCTACTAGCTCAAATTGGATGGTGGTGGTATTCCCCCCCCTCCACCCCCCCCCAAAAAAAATCCCAAACCAATAATGACACTTGAGGTTATTATTATTATTGGTTTTTATATACCACCGAATTATTCCGCAGCGCTTTACAATATTAAGGAAGGGGAAATTTAACAATATATGAGACATTTCCAAAGTTATAAAGGAACACCTCGATTTTAATGCCTCTGACCACTCAAAACCTCCTTGTTTTAAATCAAATGTAATTGATATTTCTTTGTTTTGAAAAAAATGCAGCTTTGCAGTCTTGCTAAATTGTAATTGACGGACTGACTCTGGTATTAAATGCAAATTGTCTTCATTTTTTGTAAAAATTAAACATTCTAAACATGGTCTCTTCTTTGGTATTTTGAAATGCGTATATCTGAGTAAATATTTGCACAATTCATGGCTGACTCTTGCTCCGTGAAGTCGCTATATGTTTGAAAATCACTGCTTATCTGAGCATTAAATGGTTTAACCCCTTAAGGACCAAACCTCTGGAATAAAAGGGAATCATGACATGTCACACATGCCATGTGTCCTTAAGGGGTTAAAGAGGCTCAGAGGTCATTTTCATACACTCAGCGCTTGCTCGTGAAATCACAATTTTCATTTAAAATAGACATGTCACGCTCTAAACATTTTCTATAGCCTGGTAGATAATAAAAAAAAAATTGCTTATATAATGTACTAACAGACAAATGGAGGTCTTGTCATTTTTAAAGCTGTTTAGGCAAAAGGTCACTATTTATTGAATCATTAAAAAAACCTTTTCATTCCTGTTTAGGCAGCTACAAATCATTTTCATAAAATGTTAATTTTAAACTTTAGAAATAACTGTCCTTTGACGATCAAAAGCTAAATAACTGGAAATGTTGCCATTTCATTGTCACATAATTAAAACACATTTTTAATTTCTCAGTGCGATGATGTCAAATATCAGATTGCACAAAGATGTCGGATTTGTATAATTATTATTTGTTTTGTCAATAATATTTGTTGGAGCACAGACTGCATATAAATTGTATCATTTTTCAAATCAATAATTTTGAGAATTCCGTGAATGCCTAAAACCTGACTTTATTTTCCAATGGTGACCTTTAAATATCCCACTATATTCCAGTAAATGCTCATTATCATTGTCTTACTTCCGATATGGTGGTACAGGCAATATTGGATTCTAGCTCTTCAGACACGTAGGTAGTGCACATCTTAATCTCCTGAAAATAAAACAATAAAAATAAAATAGATCAATGCTGGTATAAAACCATTCAAGATGTGACAATGGTGTCTTATTTTGTCACAGTTTCTAAAAGCAGACTTGTCACATTGAACCTTAAAACGGTCAGTGGGGTAAAGATAGCACTTCGTATCCTGTGTCAGAAATCAGTATTCATTTTATTTAAGACAAACCAAATGCATCAATCAAACCATGCTCCAGCTGATACTTACAGGTCCATGTGGTTTTCCATGAAAGGTGATGGCTTATTGAGACAAATTAATACATGGCAGAATGTCCACAGAAACGTGAACAAAAAAATCAATGCAAAATTGTCCACACTGACTATAGAGAACAGTGAACGCACCAGAACAAAACCACACTGTTTCTATCCACGTCTAAGCTTTTTTTTAAAAGCCACTAAATGATAGCCATAATGCAATTGCTATACAGAATATATAGACTAATCTGTGAACGTCTCTAAAATACAAACTTCTACGGATTAATACTATCCATATTGAAACCATGCTAACACAGTCAATTGATTTCTTTATAGCCCAATTCACAAACAGGGTTATTCACTAAGGCAAGAATTCAAAGTGAATTTTAAATTGAAGTCCACACCCGCTGAATTTGAGAGGTTCTCTAAGTCTGGTTACTTTGGCCTCAAACTTTAAATTCACTGTCTCTTTGAATTCTCAGTTTAGTTAATAACCCTGAATGTGTAAATGGGATTGTTAAGAGTGTTTTCCCAAGTTGTGTGAGATCTGGCATTCTACTATAACAATATGACATTTAACATTTACTTACCCCTAATGGATTGAAATTGCACTCAGCAATATTATACTTCTCAGATTTGGTGCACACGGTCTCTTTAATAATGAAAGTCACAATGCCAAAGTCTTCTTCTACCTACGAAAAGAAGACATGTGATACGTAAATACAGAAAACTGGCAATTATTTATCATATGGATAAAATATCAGCTGGTTCCTAATCAACCACGAAAAACTGCTTTTTCATAACTAAAGCAATAATAAAGAATGGGCATCTGGACATCAGCATTATAGACAGCATTATGGCAGCATCATATGTAATGTGAATACATTTGTGATAAGAAAATGTAAGACTAAAAAAACAACATCGTATAAACAGACTGTGTATAGAATGAAATCAACCCCGACTTAAAAAGGCAGATGCCAACTACTTATCTAAGGCTATCTGAGGCCTTGATTCAATGCTGTTGGATACACTTTTCAAATGATTTAACATCTTTGGATAAACTTTTAAAATTATTTTTTCAAAATGTTAAAATAGCCCCAAAAATACATCATATATCAAAAATATAAATTTATCATAAAATATCAAAAAAGTACAACATTTTAAAATTTAAAAAGTTTCTCCAAAATATTTGATCATTTGAAAACCTTATCCAAGAATATTAAATCAAGGTCTGAATTCTAAATGTTTTGTGCCATAAATTACAGAAATAATATATTGATAATATACAACTATTACTTTTTTAGTATAATTTAGAAATTGCACCTATTGTACCTTTTGGTAGCTGTCGGACAGGTAACTGATTTGTTTAAACAGGAACTGGGATGAGTCTTCGGCATTGAAAAGCTCCACGGCCTTTTTAATATTTAAGTCATCATTGATGTGAATTTCTTGGAGTTGGGCAAGGGAGTAGACTATCCATCCCAAGGAGATCAATAAATTTAGCGACCACCATTTGCCCATCTTGTCTCCGTTTGACAGATTATCCTGATTTCTGTCTGAGTAAATCCACTTTTATTTGAGTTTTAACTTCCTCATTCTTGTTGGTGATGTGCGCTTTGTAGAAAAGTGGGCATCTCTCAGATTATGAAATATTTTTTCCTGAAACCGTTGATTTTAATTACATCAATATTACAGCAAGAATTTAAAAAAAAATGCAAGTGAAAAAAAATCCAAAAATTAGAAGGAAGTTTCATAATGATTATGACGCAAAGATGGATTTCGCCATGATAAAATCTTCAACATGGCAAAAACGAAATAATGTGTTTATATCTAATAAATTCTAAACAGAGAAATATTAGCCTGAATATTTACATTGTTAATGCTACAATTACACTCATCATACAGAATATATAGACTAATCTGTGAACGTCTCAGATTTCTTTGAATAATACTATCCATATTGAAACCATGCTAACGCAGTCAATCATTATTGGGACTTTTGCGTGGGGAGAACAGTTTCCCAGGATTTAAATATATAAATATATACAGCAAATACAAGCAGTGTTAATTTTGGCAGCAATTTAGTTTTAGTCGTAGTTTAGTCATCTGAATTAGTTTAGTTTTAGTCGACTAAAATATCCAGTAGATATAAAAATGGGTTTAGTTAAAGCCTCTATCTGTCTCTTTTGCCCCTGTGTGTCTCTTTGTGTCCTCCCAGACCCTCTAGGTGTCTCTCTCCCAAGCCTTGGTCTGTCTCTTTTGCCCCTTTCACAGCCCCTCTGTGTCACTTTGTTTCCTCCGAGCCCCTCTAGGTGTCTCTCTCCCAAGCCCTGGTCTGTCTCTTTTGACCCTTCCCCAGCCCCTCTGTGTCACTTTGTTTCCTCCCAGTACCTCTGGGTGTTTCTCTCCCAAGCCCTGATCTGTCTCTTTTAAACCTTCCCCTGCCCCTCTGTGTCACTTTGTTTCCTCCCAGTCCCTCTGGGTGTTTCTCTCCCAAGCCCTGGTCTGTCTCTTTTGACCCTTCCCCAGCCCCTCTGTGTCACTTTGTTTCCTCCCAGTCCCTCTGGGTGTCTCTCTCGCAAGCCCTGATCTGTCTCTTTTAAACCTTCCCCTGCCCCTCTGTGTCACTTTGTTTCCTCCGAGCCCCTCTGGGTGTCTCTCACCCAAGCCCTGGTCTGTCTCTTTTGCTCCTGCCACAGCTCCTCTGTGCAGTGTTAATTTTGGCGGCAAATTTCAATTTATTTTTAGTCATAGTCTTTTGACAAAAAAAGCCATTTGTCATAGCACTGTGGGATTGTGTAGGAGTGACCGCGCCTGATCAGTGCGGTAACGCCGATACTTCAGCCGCAATTAAGTCTCGAATCATCGCGGACGCACGTGAGCAGGGCGGTCGCACCCTGAAAATAAAAATATACTCACCTGGATAGCGGTGGGAGGTTTTAAAACGCATTTGTTAAAACTAGTGAATGGGCAGGCATTGTTGATCCATCACTAGAAAAGGCCCTATTCCCGTGGGGGAGGGACATTGTCAACCAATTAGAATGCTCCGACAGAGAGAGAAGTATTGCTTATATTGAGACTTTGACTGTGTTCTGATTGGTTGGCTTAAGCCGGAAATATCCCCACGGGTTGCAATAACTAACATCTGTGTTTTTTCTGTTGGTTTATTCATTAATTTATTTATGCGATCAGGCTTTTTAAAAAGAGTTGTGTTGCAAGATAATGGATTATCATTTGGCTTTTTGGTGATGATAAGGAGAATTAGATAATGAGAAGATAAGGAGAATTAGATAATGAGAAGATAAGGAGAATTAGAAGATTTCTAGTCACATTCCAGACTGTTCATCTCGCCTCATCAAGCTAGCATCTCGCCTCATTGAGCTGCACTGGCTGCTACTCTCAGCCTCACAAACACACAGAGAAGTTGGAGTGTTGTTCTGTCCTGTGGGGTCTAAACACTAAAACAGGAGGGAGACAGACACATTCATGCAGGTTAAACAACGTCTAGTAAGTATGTTACAAATGTTAAATAAATAAAGATAACATTATAATTAACCTTTTGATTGAAGTATCATTTTATTGAACGGACTCTATAGGCACCCACACCACTCCCTCTCAATCAAATGGTCTGGATGCCTCTAGTGGCTGTCATTCAGACAGCCACTCAGACAGTCAGTCACTCAGACAGTAAGTAATTCAGACAGCCTCTCAGACAGTCAGTCACTCAGACAGCCACTCAGACAGTCAGTCACTCAGACAGCCACTCAGACAGTCACTCAACAGTCAGTAATTCAGACAGACATTCAGTCAGTCACTCACTCACTCACTCACTAACTCAGACAGTTAATAATTCAGACAGACACTCAGTCAGTCAGTCACTCAGACAGTAAGCAATTCAGACAGACACTCAGACAATCAGTCACTCAGACAGCCACTCAGACAGTCACTCAACAGTCAGTAATTCAGACAGACATTCAGTCAGTCACTCACTCACTCAGACAGTTAATAATCCAGACAGACACTCAGTCACTCAGTCACTCAGTCACTCAGACAGTCAGTAATTGAGACAGACACTCAGTCAATCAATCACTCAGACAGTCAGTAATTCAGAAACTCAGTCAGTCACTCACTCACTCACTCACTCAGACAGCCACTCAGACAGTCAGCCACTCAGACAGTCAGTAATTCAGACAGACACTCAGTCAGTCACTCACTCAGACAGCCACTCAGACAGTTAGTAATTCAGACAGCCACACAGTCAGTCACTCACTCAGACATCCACTCAGACATCCACTCAGTCAGTCAGTCAGTCACTCAGACAGCAACTAAGACAGCCACTCAGACAGTCAGTAATTCAGACAGACTCTCAGTCAGTCAGCTACTCAGACAGCCACTTAGACAGTCAGTCACTCAGACAGTAAGTAATTCAGACAGCCACTCAGACATTTAGTCACTCAGACAGCAACTAAGACAGCCACTCAGACAGTCAGTAATTCAGACAGACACTCAAACAGTCAGTAATTCAGACAGACACTCAGTCAGTCAGTCAATCACTCAGACAGTCAGTAATTCAGGCAGACACACAGTCACTCACTCAGACAGCCACTCAGACAGTCAGTAATTCAGACAGTCAGTCAGTCACTCAGACAGCCACTCAGACAATCACTCACTCACACAGCCACTCAGACAGTCAGTCACTCAGACAGTAAGTAATTCAGACAGTAAGTAATTCAGACAGACACTCAGACAGTCAGTCACTCAGACAGCCACTCAAACAGTCACTCACTCAGACAGCCACTCAGACAATCACTCACTCAGACATCCACTCAGACAGTCAGTCACTCAGACAGCAACTAAGACAGCCACTCAGACAGCAACTAAGACAGCCACTCAGACAGTCAGTCACTCAGACAGCCACTCAAACAGTCACTCACTCAGACAGCCACTCAGACAATCACTCACTCAGACAGCCACTCAGTCATCCACTCAGACAGTCAGTCACTCAGACAGCAACTAAGACAGCCACTCAGACAGTCAGTAATTCAGAAAGACACTCAGTCAGTCAGTCACTCAGACAGTCAGTAATTCAGACAGATATTCAGACAGCCACTCAGACATCCACTCAGACAGTCAGTAATTCAGTCAGCCACTCAGACAGTCAGTAATTGAGACAGACACTCAGTCAGCCACTCACTCAGACAGCCACTCGGACAGTCAGTAATTCAGACAGCCACACGGTCATTCACTCACTCAGACAGCCACTCAGACATCCACTCAGACAGTCAGTCACTCAAACAGCAACTAAGACACCCACTCAGACAGTCAGTAATTCAGACAGACTCTCAGTCAGCCAGCCACTCAAACAGCCACTCAGACAGTCAGTAATTCAGACAGACACACAGTCAGTCACTCACTCAGACAGCAACTCAGACATTCACTCAGACATCCACTCAGACAGTCAGTCACTCAGACAGCAACTAAGACAGCCGCTCAGACAGTCAGTAATACAGACAGACACACAGTAAGTCACTAACTCAGACAGCTACTCAGACATTCACTCAGACAGCCACTCAGACATCCACTCAGACAGTCAGTCACTCAGACAGCAACTAAGACAGCCACTCAGACAGTCAGTAATTCATGCAGACACTCAGTCAGCTACTCAGACATCCACTCAGACAGCAACTAAGACAGCCACTCAGACAATCACTCACTCACACAGCCACTCAGACAGTCAGTCACTCAGACAGTAAGTAATTCAGACAGTAAGTAATTCAGACAGACACTCAGACAGTCAGTCACTCAGACAGCCACTCAGACAATCACTCACTCAGACATCCACTCAGACAGTCAGTCACTCAGACAGCAACTAAGACAGCCACTCAGACAGCAACTAAGACAGCCACTCAGACAGTCAGTCACTCAGACAGCCACTCAAACAGTCACTCACTCAGACAGCCACTCAGACAATCACTCACTCAGACAGCCAGTCACTCAGACAGCAACTAAGACAGCCACTCAGACAGTCAGTAATTCAGAAAGACACTCAGTCAGTCAGTCACTCAGACAGTCAGTAATTCAGACAGATATTCAGACAGCCACTCAGACATCCACTCAGACAGTCAGTAATTCAGTCAGCCACTCAGACAGTCAGTAATTGAGACAGACACTCAGTCAGCCACTCACTCAGACAGCCACTCGGACAGTCAGTAATTCAGACAGCCACACAGTCATTCACTCACTCAGACAGCCACTCAGACATCCACTCGGACAGTCAGTCACTCAAACAGCAACTAAGACAGCCACTCAGACAGTCAGTAATTCAGACAGACTCTCAGTCAGCCAGCCACTCAAACAGCCACTCAGACAGTCAGTAATTCAGACAGACACACAGTCAGTCACTCACTCAGACAGCAACTCAGACATTCACTCAGACATCCACTCAGACAGTCAGTCACTCAGACAGCAACTAAGACAGCCGCTCAGACAGTCAGTAATACAGACAGACACACAGTAAGTCACTAACTCAGACAGCTACTCAGACATTCACTCAGACAGCCACTCAGACATCCACTCAGACAGTCAGTCACTCAGACAGCAACTAAGACGGCCACTCAGACAGTCAGTAATTC